TCACTTTTCACCTAAAATGCAAACGAATGAACATTTGCAAGGCTCTGATTGAGCGGTTTAAGCGAAACGAATCAGATTTTTTTAGCCGATTCATAACTGTAGATGAAATTTGAATCTGCCACTACACTCCTGAGACGAAAAAACAGTCAAAACAGTAGACTGCAAAGGGTGAACCTGCTCCGAAAAAGGCGAAGACGGTTCCACCGGCCGGGAAGGTGATGGCGACGGTTTGTTGGGGATACACGAGAAATTGTGTTCATCGACTATCTTGAAAAAGGAAAAACAATAACGGGAGCGTATTCCGCGTCATTACTTGATAAGTTAAAGGCAGAAATTGCAAAAAGACTGCTGCATTTGAAGAAAGTTCAAGAAGAAGAAAGTGCTGTTCTATCGAGACAACGCACCAGCTCACACTTCGGCGATCGCCATGGCCAAAATTCACGAATTACGTTTCGAACTGATTGATCACCCACCGTATTCGCCAGATCTAGCTCCCAGCGACCTTCTTCTCTTTCCTAAGCTTAAAATATCGCGTGGAGGACAGAGATTTCTATCGAACGAGGAGGTTATCTCATACGTAAACGCCTATTTCGCAGGGCAAGACACCAACTACTATTTGGAAGGGTTAAAATGGTTACAGCATCGCTGGAAAAAGTGTATTGACTTAAAAGGACACTATGTTGAAAAGCAATGCTATATTTGACCGGAAAAATACTTGTTTGTATGTTAGGCTCAAAACTTTTCAGACAACATTTGTCAAGTCACTCACGCGCCGGTATACATACGTAACTCCCGCCTCCGTCTGTTCGAAAACTTCCACGCAAATTTTCTCGCGCGGTCAGCGAAATTCCTCGTTAGCCAGGAGGTTTGGCATAACCACGTTGTTTCGCGATATGACACGCGGAATGTCAAATCCGTGCGGTGTCGCAACGAGCGTTCGCCGCTATTTTACCATTTGAGAACGATATCCCGTCGTCGCTATATGTATTTCTCGCGTGTTCGCAAGTTTTTTCACCCTCGTTCAGCCATGAAGAATGTTCGCCCGGGACGAGTGCTGGTCTTTTTAATCACCGAGTACGTACATCTCGATGCATAATTTCATTCCCCCCTCTTACGTCGCAGTTCGCTCAAATCATGGTTGCGTTAATTAAGCAGCGTCGGAGCCCGAAAGGGGCCTCAAGTTCTGAGTTTTCATATTTGCCGAAACAGCCTGGCATTCAGCAATGAATATGTAGTGTTTAATTTATCGCGTTAGCTACATAACATGTAGCTTCATACGCGGACTACGAGAGGTTCTATTGGGTTCAAACGTTGACCTAGCTATTCAGATTCACGTGCGCGTATTCGGATCCGTTCGCACTGTACTGGCTTCGTACGTGTTGGATAGATACGTATATATTATACAAGGTGGCGCGCTGCAGACGGGTCACAGTAGTGTCTTCGGTCGAAAATTCCAGCTAACCGCATAGACTTCCTGGTCGAGCACCTAGATCACTGTCATAATCATTGCCGTATCGGATGGTGGATCTGGCTTGTCATCACAGTGTCACGACCCGTGATCAAAACTAAAAATACTGAATGATTTAGTTATGTATTTCATCTCATGGAATTGATAGTAACCACTAATATAATAAATGAGCCACTCAGATGACAAACTGATCAAGTCCATAAAATAATAACTAGAGAAAAGTGATGATATTACAGAAGTAATATTATTTAATTATCCTAGGAATTTACGATTATCAATAATGTATGTATTAAGTAGCATCTAAGAAATACAGTGATATAGACAATTAATGAATAGTTATTAATTCCGTTTTACATTTTTAAATTGAAGTGTATCTGAAAAATTAATAACAGTTCTATTCGTTAGTAACTCAGAACAATCGTGGTACACGTACACATAGACATCCACGAATAACATAATCCTGAGTTAGTGCCTGTGTTGTAAATTTTATTTTATTGTAAGTAAATTCTATTTATGGACACGATTGTACAAAGAGTATGTATACAACTCGGCTGACGAGACGAAAGTAAACGAGGAACTGTACAGAGCCGTAAATCGGAATCGAGTATGAACGCAAAAGGTCACGTGACACATTACATAGAGTTTGTACATATTACTAAGAGATGTCACGATTAGTATGATACAACAGCCTGAAAGTATTATTTGTGGACACCTGCGGACACTGTGGACACTCGTGGGGCATGTATGATCGCATGTGGGTGATTTTTGTGCACTACATTGTGTATTGGAAGTGGCATTCACCCTCTCACTGTGACAATCTCGTCAGGAGAGTTTTGATATGCCCTCCTGGATTTTCATAAGACAAGTTGACTCTCATTTAACGTAAGGTGTTCGTGTTCGAGTTAATCATGATGGTTTCTGACGCATATCAGTTGTTATTCGGAAGCTGTACATATTATATCATTTGTTCTGTCCGTGGTTGACCTACGTTTTTCGGATCTTGTTAAATTTGTACATGTGTGCCGACTAATATTATACAAACTCGAAGGACCACCTTCTTAGAAGGAACACTAATGTTTTTCATATGGTGTTTATTATAAATCAATACTTACTGCAGTAACGTTTCAAGGACAATTCTAATGATACAAAGGTTTTTCTAAAGTTCTTCTGATGCTCCGCGCGGCTTTTTGTTTCTAAATACTAAAATTGTCAATGAGGCGTAACTACAGCTAACCAATCGGTTAACGTGCCTTCTCGAGGGTTGGACTTCCAAAATACGCCAAGTTCAGATTATCGCCTACCTCCTTTTTTTTACGTGGGAAAATCCTCATGGACACCCCGAGGCCCCTGAATAGAGCTCGGGGTAGTGCCGAACTCTTACCGGCTAAAACCCCACGGTAACCATTCTCAGGCGCCTGGCAGGGGGCCGGGAACTCTAGTGAGCCATCACAGAATGCGGTGAGAGTGCCTCCCACTCAATTGCAGGCGCCTGGTCATCAGCTCCCACGGCCAACTTACCAACCCGCAGCAAATATCCCATGCTCCAGCCCACTTACACACACATAACCTGAGAAGGCTGGTGGCTGCATCCTCGCATGGTTGCGTGTGTGAATGTGTGTGGGAGTGGGCTGGGACACAGGATATTTGTCGCGGGTTCTACCCCAGGTCGCGGCTGAGTCCTGCGGCCAACGTGACCCCGTGGCTGGCGGCTTAGTTCCATGTGAAGGGACCGCAGGCACTGGTGACCAAGCACCTACGGTTGAGAGGGAATGCGGTGGAAGGAATGCCTCCCAAAAAAAGAACTCACCCGCGGCCAATTGGTCAATCTGCAGCCTTAGATAGAACCCGCGGCAAATGTCTCATGCCCTAGCCCACTCACACACACATTCATCCCGGCGTTTGGTCCGCGGGCGCTTTCGCTCCGACCTCCGAGATGTCATCCTAGCGGCTACCCCTATCCGCCACCTGGGGACGCGCCACGTAGGGGTTCACCACCCCTGGCGCCTGGACAACCAAACGGGTGTGTGGCCCAGGTTACCGCCCACTAGTCGGGGTGCAACCTAAAGCCCCGTAAATTGAAAATTTCCCAACACCCGACCGTTTATCGTACCCAGGTACGAAGGCTGTCAACTAATCGTGCGACTAGTTGAAAGGTTTATGACACGTCAATCGTTATTGAGGACGACGGAGCAGGGTCCTGGCAAGAGGTGTCTTAATTATTCTTTAGGGCCCGGACTCTTCGTTTAGCTATAACTATTCGCAAGCAAATTGAAATTAGATATTCTAAAAAATAGCGGTATTTGCAAGCGACCGTATTATAAACCTGGTCAAATTCCTAACACCATTTATCGATAATAAATAAAATTAAAACAGTATGTTATTACGGGTTTTGAGAAGCTGAACACTAACAGCGACTTTGAGTAACGAAATTAAGAAATTTTCAAAAAGTGGACTTGATCAGGTTGGTATCTGAGTGACTCATATGAATATCGTAACTTGGTAACATAAATAACAGATTGGGGTTAATAATTATATTCAAAGATGAATAAAAACCAGTCAAGCCTGAATAGTTAACACATAGCATATATTTATCTATGCCCGGTTCAATGAGAATTGGCAAGAAATATGAAGAGTTTACGCGAGCGACGTGTGATCAGACCAGGGTTGAAACGTAATGTTCAGATCCCTAAATAGTAGGAAATAAGTTAATTTTCTAAACGAAAAAACTCATTCTTAATATTAATTATTGAAAGTATTGGACAAAGTAAAAGTATTAAACATTCTATACTTTGTATGCAAATATCTAGTCTTCCGGTTTGTTAATATCTCTTAATATAATATAAGGTAAAATAACGATTATAGCATAACGTTTAATTTTTCAAAACTTCTCTTACAAATTTATAATTAGGAATCTAAAATAACAGTTATCTCATAAAATTAACAAAAGCTAGTGTATTACTTACGTTGAATAATCATAAAATATAAAGAAAATTCACATAAAACGACATGGTTAAAAAAATATTATTTTCTAAACATTTAGTTACTGATAATAATTATAAATGGCCGAACATTCTTTCTTTGGCAATAATTGATAAGGGAAATTTTATTTCGATTGCGCAAAATAATTATAAGAGAAATGTTTCTTATCTATGACTATTTTGAGCCGTCGAAATACATTCCTCTGGTTAATAATTGTTATGAACGGTCCAAATAAAAAATGACTATTATAAGTAACCGAAATAAATTTTCCTCATTGACGATTATTATGAGCGAAATTGTAATTGAAAAAATTTTAGTCAAAAAAGTGATTGGTATTCAACGATTGTTCCCATTTTGTTTATGTCAATCACGGTTCCCGTTTAGAACAGAACGAAGCTAACAGGTTTTCGATTTATGGGACCGTTCTGTTCCACCGTGCGTCGTCTCAGCAACAGATGTTAATATTACTGGTTTCCAGCATGTCATTCTGTATAAACACATATACAGAGGGGTCGCGGTATTAGATTTGTGACCTGAGCTCATTACCCTGCAGAGTGCACCATACTGCATGCGGAAGGTCTCGAGCGAGAAGCTATCCGGAAACGCACAGTTCGAGGGCTACAGCGTCGACTTGATTTTCGAGATATCGAGAATCCTCGGCTTCAATTACACGTTCAGATTGGTGCCGGACGGACGGTACGGATCCTATAACAAGCAGACGAAAGAGTGGGACGGTATGATGAAAGAACTGCTTGATCAGAAGGCCGATCTAGCGATCGCCGATCTCACCATCACGTACGAACGGGAACAGGCCGTAGACTTCACCATGCCCTTCATGAATTTAGGTGAGTCATTTGTTTAACGCAATCACAGACTGTCTAGTGATTTTTAACCTGGGGTCCACAGACCTGAAGGGGAGATAAAATTTTAGAGGCCCACATAAAAATACTATATACAGAGTGGTCCGCACAACTTGTGCACCTCTACAACCTTCAAAGTATGTGTTGCTCAAAAAAAATTTTCTAACGCTAGTTCCGCGACACGCCGGAGCCAGCTAAATACTAAGACAGAAATGAAATCCAAAATTCTCTAACAATCTCTTTATGAAACAGAATTTATGAACGCTTGGAAGTATCTCAAATCTTATTTAACAATTATTTTTTGTTTACTATACATTTTATCGAATATGTAAATCTAGCCAAGGATGAACTCGTTAATTTTAGAGCCAAAAATTTGCTGGAACTGGAATTTAGTTTGACTTTAGATTCTATACTTAAGGTTACAGAACTCGTAAATATTATTTGTTAGTAATTTATGTTGAATTTTATTGATTGAATGATATGAACCTATATCTTAATTAAAAGAAAATAAAAATATGTGCAATTAATGTCCACAAATCTAATATTAATTCCATTCTACGCCGTATGAATCTGAGCAAGTCAGGATTTTCAACACTGATTAAAAAGCATTGATTTAAGAGGGGTCCATGTTAAAAGGGTTAAGAACCACTGGTCTAGTATATACATATAATAAATCTGTAGGTATATTTATAATTTCATTTTCCTCCAATTCTGCACTAGTTTTAGATTTGTTTAGCAACACCAAAGCCCGAAATCGTGTTTTCAGAATTTTTATTTATCCGTTTGTCCAAATGTTTGCTCCATCATAACTCGAAAACAACATTTAACCTATTTTGGTCAAATTTCGTATACTCGTAAACTTCTTTTCAACTTAGAGAATAGGCTATCTCATATTGAAAATTGCTCTCGTCAATATGTATGTAATACTTAATTATGTCTGTTTATTTGTCACCGTGGAGTGGGAAAACGACCGAAGAGATCACACTGAATCAACTTTCTTCAATTGAGTCTTATTAAAACCAATTTTAGATACAAACTTAGTTTTTCTAATGTGCTCGAATATTTTTAGTGAGGCGAAAACTAGACATCGTTATTTTTTAAATTTATTATTCCATAACATATCACAATTACAAAAGAACTAGTTATGTCTTTTTAAATAATTTAATACAATGAATATTTTGATAATTTATGAAGGTATATATGAATTTGAGAATATTATGATTTCCGAATATTAAACTGCGTAACTGTATATAATATTATATTTGAAGAATGTTTTAGTCCAATTTCACTTATTTATTTTAATGTCGATACACGATTATTCGTCCATGACGTCATTAGATCATATATCGTTTCATATGAATTGAGAGACGATATGTATAGACGTTCTGACCGCAAACGTATTAATCAAGGAACTCGCTCCAATCGCGCTCATTCGCCGCAAATATTGGTTTATTGATTTATGATTTTTTATAAGATTTTTGCTGACTAATATTGATAGAAAAATAAGTTCTAGAGCTTTTTCACCGAAACGAGTGGACAATTTAAGAGCACATTCGAAGCTATGCAATATGATCTATCAAGTACTTTATCGTTGGTACAAACGATGCAATTTATTTTATCGTGCAATTTATTTCATAAAAAGCATACCTTATTCAATATCTTCGTCTATCAAAAATAGCTTGGCTGTAATGCTCTTAACTCTTCAAGTTGTTTTGTAAGGGAATTGAAATTTATCTCCATTAATTATCAAAATGGTTCATATAATTTATTATAAATAATATAAACTTCCAAAATACAATTTTTACTGTATACTTTTACCGCTGAAAATTATTATTAGATGCAAAAAACTGTTAAAGTACATTAAATTCATTCACTATTGTGAGTATTTTAAAATAATTAACTTAACAGCCAATCTTTACACAAACAACAGTTTTTTACCTTATTTAATTAGGTATTAAAATTCGCATGAGCAAAGTGTATCATTTATTTGTTGTCGCCAACAATGAAAATAAAATAAGATTATTCGGTCAGAGATGGGCACAATTTTATTCTAATAATACATGACGAATAAGAATGTCATACATGGTCTTATTCACCATGTGTATTTGATTGAATAATTATTCACACAAGTCTTCACTCGTTCAGATATGGTTTAGATATAGTTTAACATAAAATATAATCTGAGCTTATACTACAAATTTTTACTAAATTAATAACAAATTAAAAGTCGTTTGTCGTTTATTCATTATTCGAAATTTGTATTTCGGTCTGAGTCTTGTCCATCTCTGTTTTCGGTCAACCTTTTGTCGTATAATTTTGCACACGTACAACACTTATTGTTAAATGGTGTCTTTTTAATAAAACAAACATTTTATGTACCTTTTCAATATATTTGGTAATCCCAGATTGCCAAAAGGTTTCTTTAGCAAACTAATTTATATGTGGAATTAGATTTGAATTTGATTATTTTTAATTAATAAATATCTATTGAAAAACTGTCGTTTTTATACAATAAATTCGTTTAATAAAAATATTAAATAACAAAAATATAAATCAATATTTGGGTGGTGTTTTTGATTCCTGATTACAAATCTAGAATTAAATATTTCAAAGTTAAAATAGCGCATCCAATACGGTGGTCAAAATAGTCAGAACCAACCTGGTTCGGCATCATTTCCACCATATTAGGGCTGCCATTTTAAATTTGGTATTCAGTCACGAATTTGCTATTCGTAATCAGTAACATTAAACACTCTCGAGTAACAAGTTTCGCCAGAATATATTGAAGGGAAAAATTTGTGTAAAATGGTTAACATTACGCGAAAATATTATATCTGTATTGGTTTGATAAGAATCGTGCGATACATAATGAGAATTCTCAATTTTCAGGAATCAGCATACTGTACCGTAAGCCCATAAAGCAACCGCCGAATCTATTTTCGTTTCTCAGCCCTCTAAGCCTCGACGTTTGGATTTACATGGCGACAGCTTATCTCGGCGTTTCTGTGCTGCTCTTCATACTCGCCAGGCAAGTGAATCCATTTTGCCAATTCTCGATAAAAAAAAAATCATACATGATCGGTGAAATTTTGTATCCGGACGATCCGATGGAAATAACTCTGTACATTATCCAATATGCTTCGCACAGTCGATCGAACGTCCATTGGGTTAGAAACTTGACAAACTTTCAGTGTGAATTCTCTGCTATTACAGGATTTCAGAATTCAAGCATGGTATCGAAACAAATTAGCAAGGCGCAAATTATATTACTTCCGTCAGAAGGGTTGCAGATTATTTTTTCGGAAAGTATCAAGGGTAGTAGAACTTGCATAAGAACTATTCAGAACAAATGCTACAAATTTCAGAGATCATTGCTTCTGTAATAAATAAATAAAACTTAAAAGGATGGCTAATAGGAACGTTATTATTTATCGGAAATACGACTTCAGTATTGTCACTTCAATAACACAATCGTTTTTTCGATTGTTATTATATCTATACCATAAACGATTCGATTATTTGAGAAGCTTAACGCTAGAAAGTACCAAAGAAATTAAAACGATAGATACGCGAAGAAATGTATAATGCAATAGAAATAACTGTTTATTCATTCTTTTGTAGAAAATTGTGGTAAATTTTCAGAAATTCAGTCGAGTAAATTTTTTACAAATTTTATTGAAAATTATGAATGGGTCATTTTGATTGCTTTAGTAGTTCCAGTGTTAATCTTTCAATTTTGTATATAAAAAGGAATTACAAAGTTGTGCCGTTTTAAGAGCTTCCACCATTTTTAACAACATTTATCTAAAACATTTAAAAAATTTTTCATAGTTAAGAACTTACAAAGGAAACGATTACGAAATGTATTTGGTTTACTTTAATTTTTACTCTTTACGTCTACATATATTTTCCTTTGGTTTTTACAACCCTTTTTGTTCAGCTATAAATTTTCTTCCTTTTCGGGGTTTCTTTTCAAATCTAATCTATTTAGCCACTTAATTATTGACACATCTTCCATCTAAAATTCTTTTTATATTGTGGCGTCGCCTCCCATGTTCGCCACCAGAGGGGTCGCGCTCTCACAAGCGTTCGACATTTCAACAAAAGTTCCACACCGCAGTGAAGCAGCGCCACAATATTATAATCTAATCCTTCCAATTCGTCACATTCCAAAATATGTAACCATTCACAATAAAAAATATAAGCTATTTTCACGACTATTCTCCTCCGTACAATACTCATTATTTTCCATATTTCCACACCTAGCTCAAGCTATTAATTTCTGACTATTCTTTTTCTGTCTGTTAAAATGCTCTGGAATCGAAAAGCACTTTATGTGTTTGTACCATTATATTATGGCTTTTCTGTCCATTTATATTGTACTTGCACATTATTTAAATGAATAATGCACCATCGGAAACCATTTCCGATCCTCAAAGATAAATCCAAATTAAAACAGTAATAACACTAGGAGTATCTGATATTCGGAACATAATTATACATATGAAACTATTATAAATTTTTAATTTAACAATAAAAATCTTTTTCTTGTGTTTTTTTTTTCGTTGGCTAGAAGAAGTATTTTTTTAAAACATATTTATATTTTCTATATTCACCTTCTTATTTGTTACTGCCATTTTTGAGTATCTATTATGAGCTACTTTTAACAAGTACGTATATTTTTACTATTATAAAATAAAACAAAGTTTTTACAACTTGCATTTCAAATCTTTTTCGATGTAAAATTCTAATAATTGATCGCTTATAAAGAGTATCGTTCAGTTTTTAATACAAAACCTTGCTAATAAATTACTTAATTTAAGGTAATATTTGTTATTTTGGGAAAAATCGTTAGTGATTTTCAATTTTATAATATAAAATATTCACAAGTTAGTTATCTAATATTTTTAATGTATTCTAATAAATTAAATAAACATATATTGTTCGAAACTATTCAGAAACATCACCTAAAAAAGCTAAACTGCTCAACGAACTTAGATATTTTGCATCCATTAATTGTAAAATGGCGTCAATTCGGACCCAACGAAAAACTTCTTACTTCAATATTTTTATTATCGAAATATGTCTGGATAAAAAATTAAATCCCTATATCTAATCACTATGTATTATAAAATTTTGCATATAAATTACAGAATCACTAATATAATTATTTAGTTATCTTTAGAATAAACTTCTATCATATATGATACACGATAGTGATCAGAAATTAGATTCTGATAAAGAATTGAAACCACAATCATAGATTAGAAAGTAATGTCGTTTCTTTCAAACAACAAGAAAAACCTTTAAAAGCCAATAACACATAAATTACAGTATACAGGGTGTTCGGCCAACCCTGGAAAAAATTTTAATGGGAGATTCTAAATGCCAAAATAAGACGAAAATCAAGAATATCAATTTCTTGACTGAGGCTTTGTTATAAAGTTATTAAAAAATTAAATTAAAAAATTTCAAATCATTTTGAAAAAATTATTTTTGGTCGTAGGGGTCAATTACAATCATTTTTGGTCAATAGACACATCCCCGAAATCCTACCCATTTCTTAGAAAAAAATTCAAGAAGGTGTGAAATTTTTCGACAAAAGTAACAAATTTCAAATCGTTCTAAAAAAATAATTTTTGGTTGTAAGGGTTAATTGTAATCATTTTTGGTCAATAGGCATACCCCCGAAATTCTACTCACTTTCGAGAAAAAAATTCCTTACAAATCTAAGGTAAATCTTTGAAACATCATAACTCCTGAATGGATTGGACGATTTTAATGTTTCAAAATGCAAACAACGCGTATTTTGGTGAAGGATATGTGGCAATTTCAAAAATATTCGGAAAGTTATTGTTTGACTTCGTAAAATAAGTAAAACCCCATAAAAATAGTCCAATTTTCAAACAGTCATAACTCCAACAATAGTGAATATATTTCATTGAAATTTTTGATAGAACTAAAGTTCATGGATACCTATAAAAAGTACTAAACAACATTTCTGTACAGCGCCAACTAAATTTATTAAAAATGAAAAATGAATTGCTTGAATTTATCGACGAAAAAAAAATTTCAAATCGTTCTGGAAAAATGATTTTTAATTAGTGGGGTCAATTATAATTATTTTTGGTGAATAAACATACCTTAGAAATCCTAACAAATTCAATAATTAGATCAATTTTTTGACAAAATTAAGACATTTTAAATCGTTCTAAAAAAATTATTTTAGTTGCACGGGTCAATTACAATCATTTTTAGTGGATAGATGTACCCTCGAAATCCTGCGCATTTTCGAGAAAAAAAATTCAGTACTAGCGGAACTTTAAACGTTAATAACTTTTTAACGAAGTCTCCATCAACAAATCGGTATTCTTGATTTTCGTCTTATTTTGGCTTCTAGAATCCCCCATTAAAATTTTTCCCAGGTGTGGCCAAACATCCTGTATGTCTCTGCTGGGGTACAAATGTTTAAGGAATCACTCTCTACTCTAATTGTGAAAAATCATTTAACTATTTTTAATAATTCCCGATAAAATGATCTGTAACCCATCAAGACGAATTACCCTTTACACGTTACATACATATTTTCGCTTCTTCGAAACCGGAACTTCCCACATTGCGAGTACATTTATCTTCGAAATAGTATTTTAACCGCACGTTCACTCTTTACCAGTCTGCAATTAGTAGGTATTGAATTCACGGCGATTCGTGAACAGATCTTTTTAACCGCTACGTCGAACGCACCAACTCTAATTTCATGATCGACCGTGACGTGCGCTCGGCTGTATCGGTTGATAAAAAGAAAATAAAAGCGACGTGGAATTAAATAAACAGACGAGTGCTGGCCATGTCGCATTCCGTTCGACTTCTTTCTCTTGACGTGGACGCGATCAATCTTTTTATGCAAATGGCGATCGATCCACGGGAAAGATAGACTGAAAAGGATCAGACGTTGTCTAGAGTTGATCAGTTTAGATTCACACCGTACGAGTGGTTCAATCCTCATCCGTGCAACAAAAACCCGGACCATCTGGAGAATCGCTTCAAGCTGCTCAACTGTATGTGGTTCACCATCGGGTCCTTAATGCGGCAGAGCTGTGACATTCTGCCCAAGTAAGCCGTTAGATTGGCATCACGGTCACTTAAACGTCTTTTGTCTGTTTTTATTTTTCTAGGTTCTACCTTTTCTTTTCTTTACCTTTCTTTCTTCATCGCAAATCTTCCGCTAACTCGTTTCGTTGTTTTTCCGTCCCACGTGCCACCGTTGTGTTTCCGCCATCGAACGCCCGGTGTCGCCGACTGCAACGCATGCAAATCGACATCCACGACGTAACTAATGATCCACTCTCGTAACGATTTACTTGTTCACGTCCCATGAACGCACAGCCCAAGATCCGTGTACGCCTGGTACGCGAGCGAATAATCGATGAATTATTCAGTAGAACGAATCCACGAAACCGGCATTAGCCGCATCATCGGGGTCGGGCGTTTCGTAATTTCGTGTTGTAGTTTCCGTTTGACGAAGGCCGCCTGTTCTGGGAATCGCGCGCGAAATGAAAAAATGTTCCATTAAGAAGAGACTGTCTAGAGTGCAAGGCAAGGTGATTGAATCCCCGTTTGCTTGAAATTGCACGTACGGTTTGTACTAGGAAAAATCTTGGATCCTGGTTTCGAGAAATCCGAGTCGGGACACGGAAAATTTGAGGACGTTTGAGATTTTACGATGACAAGAAAGAAGAACGGATTTGGTAAACTAACGTGATCAAAAGTAATAACGATGAAGTGTACGAAACAATTGTCATGAAAGGTTATATATTATTCAAATTTATTTACCTCCGATACTGCGAGTAAATCGATTACAATTGCTGAAAACACGCAAGATAGCGTTTAAATATTTATACCCGGTAAAAGAACAACAGGAATAGAATATAAATACTTAAAAAAAAAGACGAAGGAAGAGTTCGGTTCTATTTCTTTACAAAGTTTTTTATTTCTCCTTATGCATTATAACGATGTACGAGTAGACGAAAAAATTGTCACGAAAGGTTATACATACAGAGCGTTCGGCATCTATATGTGAAAAATTTAAGGGAGTGATTCTAGAGGGCAAAATAAGACGAAACTCAAGAATAGTAATTTGTTAATTGAGGCTTCGTTTAAAAGTTAACATTTAAAGATCCGTCTGTAGGATGGCTATCTGCGAACAACTGCCTGCGCGCGATAAATCGCGGCAGGTTGGTCCTAGTGGTTCTCATACAGCATGAGAAACTTTACTTATCGACGTATAGACTTACATTTTTGAGTCGACTCATGGGGATACATATTACGTTGAATGAACGTATCAAAACTCACTCGACGAGATTTTCACAAAGAGAAAGTGAATGCCACTTTCAATACAAAATGTTGTGCACAAGAATACACCCATACGCGAGCATCAGACACCAGGATGGTTCACAAATAATCCTTTCAGGCACTAACCACTATGCAATTAAATAAACACGTCCCGCGATTATGTTATTCGTGAGTGTCTATCTGTACGTGTATCACGATTCTTCCGAGTTACTTACGAATAAAACTGTTATTAATTTTAAAATACACTTTAGTTTAAAAATGTAAAAAGGAATCGTAGGATAAATGAAATTTTCGCATCGATTTGCATTCGAGTCGAAGAATGTAACGATACTAACAGCTGACTGTGTCATCTATCGACGAGGTTCAGAGAAACAAATGCCTAACAGGACCCCGATTCTACGTTACACACACACCATATGCACTCTACACTCAGTTGAGACAATGGGCAGCATCGGCACGTGTCGGCCAGCTAGTCAGTCGCAAAAAAGAATCAATCAAGACAGTTCACGCGACACATTTTAGACATATTTGATTCAGTTATGTATTAAATAGCATATAAGAAATACAGTGATATAAACAATAAGCGAATACTTATTAAATTCCTTTTTACATTTTTAAATTAAAGTGTATTTGAAAAATTAATAACAGTTCTTTTCGTAAGTAATTCGGGAAAATCGTGGTGCACGTACACATAGCCACTCGCGAATAACATAATCGCGGTGCGTGTTTATTTAATTGCATAATGGTTAGTACCTGAAAGGTTTCTTTGTGGACACTTGCGGACACTGTAAACACTCGTGGGGCATGTATGATCGCGTGTGGGCGATTTTTGTTCACAACATTGTGTATTGGATCTGGCATTCACCCTTTCTCTGTGAAAATCTCGTCGGGCGAGTTTTGATATGCCCTCCTTCATTTTCATAAGACAGGTTGACTCTCATTTAACGTAAGGTGTTCGTGTGCCCATAAGTGGACAAAAATCTAAGGCTGTCGATAATGTTGGTAAGTAGAATTTTTCATGCTGCGTGAGAACCACTTTCACTGGCCTGCCGCAACCTTCCGCGCGAACGCAGCTGTTAGCGGGTTGCCATTCTACAGGCGGTACTTTAAACGTTTATAACTTTTTAGCCTCAATCAACAAATTGGTATTCTTGATTTTCGTCTTATTTTGGCCTCTAGAATCTCTCATTAAAATTTGTCCCAGGGGTGGCCGAACACACTGTATATTAAATCGTATCTTACTCGTAAGTGCATATGCCAAAAGCCCAATTTTCAAACCTGATTATCTCGAAAGGTAAGCTGAAATCGTGAAAATTGTATTCTTTTTATTTTTCTTACTTTCCCATAAGGAATCACCTGCCGGCCGCTTTTACATGTTATTCGGACACGCTCTGTAGAAATTAGTTTACGATTCGACTTAAAAATTCGTTATTCGTGAATAAAATTTGCCTCAATCTGCTGATAGTTAACGTGTTACTAAAGAATCGAGATGAAAGAATCCGGAGATGCAATGTCGACAGCACCAGGATCCAAAAATCGGGAGTGAGTCATGCACGTTGCAACTCTGAGGTCTAATCCTCCCCCTTCTCCTTTCACGTGTCTGCAGGTTCAGCCCCTACGAGTGGGAGAATCCCCATCCGTGCAACGGACAGTCCGAGGTCCTCGAGAACGAGTTCACCCTGATGAACTCGCTTTGGTTCACCATAGGCTCGCTCATGCAGCAAGGCTCTGATATAGCGCCGAAGTAAGTCACCGAAGAAACACAGCAACATGTACAGATCCATGTGTACAATGTATCGGGCATTTACGACGGTCGTATGCCGAGATTAGTTTCGATACGAACCGGACTATGTCATAGTTTAACCCATTTGGCCGGTATTTTTTTTCGCGCCCATGGTGAGCAAGGTGCACTATTTTTGCGTGAAATTGAAATGTTGAACTATCGATAACGATATAAGATATAAGGTGAAAACAATATTATTGCTTCTAATACTTGATAATAACAAATTCTATAATATATGCGTCATAGAATAATACATTCAATTTATTAGCTAAGTATGCACTCGCAGTTCGTGTTTAATCATTTATTTCCATATGGTAGTTTTTAAAATCATTAAGAATGTGTTGGATACCCGAGAATATTCGCATTACTACATGGTTTCGTTTCTCGTTTTGCATTTCGAATACATTTTGCAAAGTTTTCTAGGGAATGGTTTCCCATCTGTTGCTAGAAAAATGCACCCAATTTCTCGCGCGCAAACGTAATAGTATATTTCGCAGTTACGGTTTTTCAAAAATATCATACTTCTTATACGAAAGAGTTGGTGGAATTTTTGTACGAAGTCTAATCGAAATCGATTAAAGTCAAGGTTTTTTAGGTCTCGTAATTGTATGGTACAACGTGCAATTGTTAAAAAATGCTATGACTTTTAAGTAAAGAATTATTTAGCTTTTTGAAAAGCTTTTCGTATTCAAAAAGTACGAAAACATTTAATCATGACTGATGATCCTACCCTTTCATACGTTTGTTGTAATTAATTAAGCATTCCGGTGTTATTTTGTCATATACATATATGTGTTATTGATTACTCTTGTCATTTTTTTTCTGTCAATATTGGCCATACTAATATTTCCACGCTTTGCGGATAACATATACAACGTGTGCTAAAATTGATAGTCCCAACTTTGAGTATGTATAACATGTATTGTTAGTGAAATCAACAAAAATGATTTTGTAAACATTGGTCAAAATTTGAAACTTACAGAACAAAAGCTGATAACAAATGTGGTATGTACATTGTATCGATAGTTATACTATCTTCGAGATTTCGGGATCTGTGTAGTATTCTTATAAGTTAATTATCTCAAATAATTTCTGTAGTGGTGATTGTTACACCAGTTTATCTTGCCGAGAAATAAGGAAAATGGGCGAGAAATACTTCAAGTATCTATTGTGATTAAATCAAATTTTTCTTCAAAACTTGAAAACTTTCGACTTTTAGATCCGTAATCTCTAGCACTTTTTTGCTTACTTTAACGAATATTATATGTACCAAAAATTTGGACCTTCAATCTTAGCACATCATACATATATATATACAGGGTATTCGGTCACCCCTGGGAAAAATTTTAATGGCAGGTTCTAGAGGCCAAAATAGGAGGAAAATAAAGAATACCATTTTGTTGATTGAGGCTTCGTTAAAAAGTTATTAACATTTAAAGTTCCGCCTGTAGAACGGCAATAAAACGGTAAAAAGTTTTGCGTTTTTATCCTCGAGTATAACATAGTTCACCGTCTTCTTACAGTGACCACTCCAGGAATCAAGAATTAGAACTGTTGCAGGCCCAGTATTTGCGAAGTAAATCTCTCTTAACCAGGCCTTGAAGTGGTCCATAGTTAATTGAAAGTGAGGAAAATTTTATAATACCAAAAGGTGGAACAAAGTATGTTCAACCACGGGATGTTTACGGTTTCCGCACTTGGAAAACTTTCGTCCGCCGATTTTCCGATATAATTCTCGTTTTAAATCACGACATTAATCTCCACGCTAGGAATAATATAATTAAACTTCAATCTCTGATCCACAATCAATTTTCATCGCCAAAGTTTCAAAATTTTATAAATCCGGATATACAGGATGGGGCATTTTAAACAGGTCACCCGAATAACTCGCTTGTTTTTGAAGATAGGAGAAAATGCATTAGACCATCTTACTTGGTATCGGGGGCTCATAATCTGGTATTACCAATTTTTCTGTAGGTGGAGGCGTCAAGGAGATATGAAGGTCAACTCTGTTTTTTTAAATGGAACAGTATGTTTTTTTACTTACATTCTGATAGAGTGTTTCAAGGCGAATGCATAGACCTATTATTAAGGTCATTCAAGGTCAACCCAAAGTCAACTGCAATAGAAAATAAATTGTCTCAAAGTACTCTTCGAACACTTGGATACTTTGATACTGCTACTACCAGTGTTCAAAATGGCGACCTTGAACATGGATACATAGTCTAAATCGTTGCAATACTGATTACACTGCCTGGCAAATTTCATTTTTATCTATTACAGAGCAAGCTCTTCTTATACGTTCTTGCATGTCAAGTTTGGTAGTTGGTTTTTCGCGGTACACTTCTGCCTTTAATTTTCCCCACAAATAAAAATCGAGAGGTGTCAGATCTGGGGATCGTGCCGGCCATTTGTTACTTCCTGATCGACCTATCCAACAATCTCCAAATTTTCTATTTAGAAATTCTGTACCATTGCGTGCTGAATGAGCAGGACATCTGTCTTGCTGGAACCACACGGATTGTCGTATGTCCAGTGAAGTGTCTTCTAACAATTCAGGCAAAACGTCTTCTAAGATTCTCAGGTACTTAATACTATTTAGCGTGCCATCAATAAAATATGCATCAATTATTTTATTATGAAGAAGGCCGCACCAGACGTTTACAGACCAAGGTCTCTGTTTGTCGACTTCTCTCAACCATCGTGGATTATCTACTGACCCGTAGTGCATGTTGTGACGGTTAATTGCTCCATGGTTTGTAAATGTGGCCTCATCGGTAAATAACAGTTTACTCAAGAACATTTCATCGTCTTGTAGTTTTCGTAAGCCCCATTCACTAAATTGTAAATGTTTTGTATAATCATTTTCAGTTAATTGTTGATGAAGTGATATGTGGAACGGATGAAATTTGTTAATGTGTAATATTCGTAAAATACTTCGTCGACTGATCCCACTTTCGCGTTCCAGTTGTCTGGTACTAACATGTGAATCTCGGATTACAGCTGCTACAATATTTATCGAGTTTCCATCATCAGTTGCTCGTTTGGCAAGATTACGTGTTTTCTTATCCACAGTTCCAGTTTCTTGGAACTTTTCTATAATGTTTGTAAAGACAGAAAGTGGAAGGTCTGTTATTACGATCGGAAAATCTTTCACCATACACACGTACCGCTTCCCTCATAATTCTATGACATTCATCATAAATAAGAACCATTTCTACTTTCTCTGCTATCGTGTAACGCATTTTAGAAAACTGAACACTTAAACTGAATAAATATTACGAAGCTGTACTCTAGTCGGTAGTCAAGTTACCAATAATGTTTGAGGATACAGATAAACGTACAATGTGATTGAATGTTTGTTTATCTTTTGTGACCCGTGTCACGTAATACACATACGTGATACACAAGTATATGAAAAGTACTCTGAGACAATTTATTTTCTATTGCAGTTGACTTTGGGTTGACCTTGAATGACCTTAATAATAGGTCATTGTATTCGCCTTGAAACACTCTATCAGAATGTAAGTAAAAAAACATACTGTTCCATTTAAAAAAACAGAGTTGACCTTCATATCTCCTTGACGCCTTCACCTACAGAAAAATTGGTAATACCAGATTATGAGCCCCCGATACCAAGTAAGTTTGGTCAAATGCATTTTCTCCTATCTTCAAAAACAAGCGAGTTATTCAGGTGACCATTTTAAAATGCCCCACCCTGTATAGATGAAAAACCAAATGCATTCCAGAATCCTGTTGATTACTGCTATTCTGTTGAAAATGAACCAAGATGCCATATTTGCGATGACGTGGCAATAATTAAATGCGCATTGTGTAAGAAATCTTTATGTTTCAAACATTTTTTCGACGAGTACCACTATTGTCGAAACTACATAGAATAATTGCTATACACACTGTATGTATTTATAATTTATAAATCGCTCCACCTTTGTCACGATGTCATAGGTGGGCAATAGAAACAATTAATCTTTTCATTGCTGTTAAGAAACTTGTTACTGTTATTATTACTTGCTACTTGTTACTGTATAATTTAGTGCAAGTCTACAGTGCTTCATTAAAATCAAAGTTAGAACAGCTACTACCATAGTGGATGTGCGCGTAAGATGTAAATCATCAAAATCTGCGAAACCGTAAGAGCCAATTTTAAAATATTACATACCAATGAATTTGAAATGTCATTATGAAAAAATTTCATAAACTGAAAAATTAAGTTAATAAATTTTTTTTTGTTACAAACAAATTGTATTTTGTTAAATTTTTTAACACCATGTGATTGCACATAAGAAACCATTAACCTCGCCCATTAACAATTTTTTCGTATGTCGTTCCATTTTCGAGATAGCCGTTTCGAGCCAAAACTTCAAGGGGTGGTTTCACCCCTGAAACTCGAGTTACCGCAGCTAAAAAAAATACTTGTGGATTATTTTTGGCTGCTGTATAAGTGTACAAAGTTCCATCAAAATTGAAGCCGGACCGTTCGCGAAGGTTCCTTGTAAGTCGTAATCGCATAAAAATGATATAATTTTGTAGTACAAACAAAGTTGCAATTTTACTTGTATAGATTATAAACGTGACTGAACAAATATGGTTAGTATTTTACGGTTTATTTCTATGATTCGAGCTCGATCTCGTTCGAGAAATGTTCGTATGGATTGTGAATTTCTCTTGTAAGTGTCACGGACCAGGAGCCTAGCTCGTTATGCCGGCCGAATGGGTTAACCGGCAGTGAACGGTTCACCTGAGTATACAAAGTGATAGGAGTTTAGTGAAATCTGGGGTGTCGGGGTGGGATCGGAGGGAAGACGAGATTCGGGGTCCGTAGGTGCTACTCTCATGTAACGATAGCCTGGATATGCTATATCGTAGGCTTGCTGCAACCGATCACGTACCGTGCGTGTCGAAACTTGTCAACGTGCTTCGCTACCGCTAGCGCCGCCGCT